ATTATTCTGGTAGAAACATCTAGCCAAAGATGCCAACACAGGAAAGTTGGGTACCTAAGACTCTAGAAGGGAACCAATTAAAACAAAAGAAGTTCAAAGAACAGCAGGAGGAAAAGGTCAACAGAGCTTGCAAATGTCCTTTTAGTTTCTAGACTTTTTTATTTGTTTTTTTCCACAATGTTTTCTTGTGCAGCAAAATGGCCAATGGTATCCACACAGAACTGAAGAACGAGAATTTGGGCTTTGTTCACATCTTAATACCTATGAGATCTTGGCTTTGAAGACATGTTCCATATATAGAAGTGGAGGAATCTGACCAATTAGAAAGCCAAAGGGGACTTCACTTTCCAAAATACACAATGGAATGAGAGCATTTAATGCAGTGGCTGTGCACTGACAGAGGTGAGCCTAAAGTTGGCCTATAGGAGTTCGAGTCCTCACTTGCACAAGCAAATGGAGATGACAAAACTATCACATTCCTTAAAAATTCCTTAAAAATTCCCAGTGTTACAGGCCCACTTTGTTGAACTGTAAAAGGTGTGGAGTTAGAGCTGCACTGCATGGAAAGAACGGAGGTGTACCAAAGAAAGCACCTGCTGCAGCAAGTCAAGTAGAAGTACAGACTCCAGGAGAAATTCCCCTCTGTCCCAGTTTGTTTCCCAATCCCACTTTTACTGTTTCCTTACTACCTGTTGCCAGCAAAAGCTTGTGCCCTGAGTTCCCAAATCAACACACTACCACTCTGTTCCTTTATTTGAAAAAAAAATAAAAAATTATATTCATTTCTTTTTCTAGTCAGGTAACGAGTAATTTAAAATTTAAGTGTTCCAGCTCTGGATTTTCTCATCCTCTCTTTAGGTTTTATTTTGAATTTTTTTCACATTATATAGCACAATGTTAAGCATGCTACCAGCCATAAATAATAAATAATGCCTTGAGTACAGGACATCATAAGAAAAGATAAAGACGAGAGGAAGAAGATGAGGACGAACAGTTTCAGTCTGTTCTACACCTTTAAATGCTAAGACTCTTTACCTCTGTAGACATAATATTCTGAAGCAGCATTAAAACAGGCTTATTGCTTTGGTCATTATCTGGAAGTGCGAGGAAAGGGAAGAGGATGGAGGAAGAAGAGAAAGAATTGACAGTCCAAGATCACCACCTAGTGACAGAACTTCTCTTTTGCAGATGGTTTACTTAAATATTAGACAAACTACTGTGCCAGAGAAACAAACCATCCAATACTTTTATAATAACAATCCTCTAAAGTAAGAATTATATATTGCTTCAGGATAACAAAAAAATTCAGAGCATACAATCTGGTGCAGTGAAGCACTTAGTACTTCGTTGGTTCTTTCGTTTACTTGTTTTAAAAACAATCAAGAAAAATACTTTCTCATATTTGTGGAAGGTTAATTTGGCAAAGCACCTGTTCCAATATTCCCCAAACTAACAATTCAGACAACAATAAGTTAAATATTATTTGAACTGAACAGTTTTAAAATTAATTATTTTGGCATTAGTCAATAGAGGCGGAGTTTTCCAAACTGGTGGGACCCCAAAAAACACAGAATAAGAACTACATGAAAGAGGAAGTATTCCTCCTATATGAGGGTAACAGCCCTGAATGAATGCCTTTGTGCAGCACCTGACTCTGAAGTAGCGCTGGGTGAAGTAGGAATATTGTCTAGAATCTGTCTTTAATTCTTCCAGCAGAATACATTATTCTTATCTTTCATAACTCACTGTTTTATTTCCCTTCCTGTATACGGCACTGCCATAATTAAAAATGGTAAACTTGAGGCATGATCTTTGATGTGGATATCTACATTTTTATATTCAGAATAATAAATCTCTCCCAGTCTTCTAGATGAAGCTCATGCTGTTTACCTTCTTGTTATTGCAGCATTTTTTTCCCCAGTTTTGAGAAATACACCTTTCCTTGCTCCCTCTCACACACTACAAAATCCTTACCATAATCCAGAGAATCTTAATCTTGGTCACCCCATCTCTTGCTCTGCTTCTCCATGCTAAGTTCTATGCTTTTGTTTCAAGGTATTCCATAGTTTGTGCCACTCAAGCCACATCTTACCCACTATCAGGGCATTTTTAGCTACATCCAATGGATCTGTCATGTCACTATCCAGCAGTGATTGACTTCTCGAGCACCGTTATGCTTTATCCCTAATCACTCAAGTCATTTAGCTGTGCAATAACAGGCTTAATTATGACTTTTAAAAAAATAATTACCTAAACACTATCATTTTAGCACGCTGAACAATGCTATTGCCTCATACTTCCCATCCTGTCTTTAGATTACTGTTTTCTACGGTCTTACACTCAGCCATAGCCTATTTAGGGTAGGTCCTGTGTATGTGTGCTAGCACAAGAGGGGAACAGAGAGGTACTAAAGCTCTAGGCTATCCAGTCCTAGAAGTAGGGCTGCATATCTCTTCCAGGATAGTTAGTGAACAACAAATAACATCTAAATCCTGCACTGAGGGAGGGTACTTGCATTGTACTACAAGCGGAAGCTACACACAGCATGCTTTTGAAATAGAGAGGCATGCATTAGCTGTAACTGCTACAACACTAAGCAAAGAACAAATGGTGCAGGCATTAGAAACATTCTAAGGCACAATTATTTAATTAATTTTTTAATAGCACCAGGGATGGTCTAGGCAGCTCTAAAGTAAAATGCAACCACTGTACAAAGGTGCCGCTCAGCTGACAGTCAGGCACTGTGCAAAGGGATAGCTTTGTCTGGTTTTGGAACAGTTGTGTTGAAATACAGTCCATGTTAAATAGGAAGCTATATGCTCAGACAACTGATTACTCTGGCTCCCCTTCTACTGATAAAATTTCAAGCTGCTATTCTACAATAATATTTTCAGTCAGTTTTTAACAATTTTAAAAACCCCTGATAGTGCCAATATCTATCATTCCTGGAATGCCAGTAATCTGTGTTGTTCTATTATCCATCAACACAGTTGGGCTGACACATGTCATAATTTATTTGGACAAAAGGAACATACTTGAAATAAAATTAGGTCTTCATGCTCTCTGAATAATTAAAACATGTATCCTATTTTACAGTTGAATAAGCTCCACCTACACTAGTATTCTGTGCCAAAGCTTACTAGGAATACTTAAAAGAGAAAAATAACAGATATTACTTCTAAAAGAAAGGGTAGACCCAACAATTATTTACACGAGTACAGCCAGTATGAGGAGCTCAAGTAAATATGGACATACATAAAAAATCTGTATTACACATCTCTATATTTACATATATGTTTGTAGATACATTATATATTTTATAATATGTAGAACTATAAATGTAGAGTTTTAGTCTGGTAGCATCCACCTCACCAGGCTAATTACTTTTGGTATTTTAAAGATGACACTATTTCTCTTGAGCATCAGGAAGAGTAAACTGACTTAAAAGCCCTTCTGTGAAGCAATATAAGATGGAATGGCTTAACACCATTCCCTGAAACTAAGCTTTTCAGAAAGCAAGAAAGTCTGTTCTTCAGGAGAACATATGTCTTAAAAACAAGCACATCTTATTTTTTAAGAAGGAAAAAAAAATTACTAAATTAGTTCTGAATGAGCCATTGGAGCATACTGGAAATGACATTTGGACATTGTTCTTCCCAGAGAGAGGGCTCCAGTTTTGTTACAAGATGACTTACCTTGGAGCAGTTCCAGAGCTTTCAGGTGCTGCTGTCCCACCCGGTTCCCGCTGCAGACACAGCTCAGTTTTCACAGATGTTCCTGCAGTGGTTCAGGGCAGGCAGCCAGGGAGCTGGTGAGGCATCCCTGCTGCGGTCAGAGCCAGATCCCAGAGGTACCCAGCTGTTCTGCAGAGGCAGGTACCCCACACAGGGAACAAAATCCAAGTAGCTGCTTGCTTCTGGCAGTTACCCTGAAAGCTTATACTTTTGCACAGTATTGCATTGTTCCTTACACAAGTTTCTCCACAGTTTATAATGGGAAGATTCAGGTATTTTGAATCCTTTCCTCCAGACTGATTTCCCTTCTTGTGCCTCCATCACTCACACTAAAAGCTCATCTTGAAAGCAACTTTAATTTACAAATCAACAAACAAACAAACGAAACCCAAAACCCACAAATGCATTCAACAAAAAAACAAAACAAAACAAAAATCAACCAACCAAACGAAAAACCAACCCAAAACTACTTTGAGACATTGTAACCTGGTTTTATACTCTCTAAAGCCCCTTAAGCTCTTCATAAGTCAGCTCCTGTGATGCCATCTCTAAAAGCAGTACTTTCAGTTTGCATGGAAGAGACACAGATTTACTACTGAATGCTCTCATGCACTGCTTTAAGAAAATATAAGGCAAATAAGACTTTATCTTTTATTTAAAATAAGCAATAAAAAGTTTACATCATAGTCTGTCAAAATGGCATCTCCAAGAGGGAATGACTAATACACTTACAGTGAATTAGATTTCCTTAAAAATGAAGTACATGTGACAAAAGCAGGAACAAATGGCATCTATATATCTCAGTAGATCAGCAACCACAAAAAACCTAAAAACATTTACATTATGGTGACTAAGCATATTTTTCCCCAAACAGCATTCCAGTGTGAGCTGGCTTAACCTCATGAACTCTATCAATCTGGTTTTCATTTCTGCAACTAATTTGTTTTCTAAACTACACATATCCAGTTCCATAAGCAAATCCTTATTATAACCACAAAAAGCAGCTGCCTCACTTTCTGTTGTAACTAGCCATTTATAGATTTTTCATTTGCTTAGGCATTTTTTTCCCACATGCTAACGTTTAACAATCAGAAACAGAGGTTATAAAACAATATGTGAAAAATAATGGAGAAATCAAAGTCTAGCCCACAACACACTTTGGTGTGGTGCTAACACAGGTCCCACTGAAGGTTTTTTTCTGTCTATAAATCACAATTAGGATGATTGCTGGAGCACACCACTATAGTCTAGAAGAAAGTACATCGCTTAATTACCAATTTTAGCTTTATTTTATGTGTACATTTGTACATTTCTATCAGGTTCACAAAATGTAAAACTTTTGTTATCAGAGTATTTCATACAGAGGTTGACACACAACTTCATGATTACTTGGAAAAACATGCAATAAGCTATGGAAAGTTTATGGAAATATTTTAATAGAAATTTTTAATCAAATCAACTAGCACAAGAAATTGTGTTTGACTTCTAAATTCTGTATATAAGCCACTACAAAACATTTCCTACCATGAAAAAGAAAAAAAAAAGATAAAGATCCTTTAAATCTTACAATTGGACAAGTGTTCCACTGTAACTCCATTCTAAACCATGGAAGAGGAAATCGTGCAGGAAAATGTTTTACTTTAAGTAATTGCCCAACTGTTATTGCTGTTCTTAAAAGAACCTGAAACCATACAATGAAAACTTCGAACTAAATAGACAAATGGTCATATTTAGATAATTAATGGAATTAAAATGCAAAAGTTAACTACAAAAGTTTCTCAAAATGTTGTGTTTTCTTATATGTACATAGAGAACTGTACACAAACAGGGAAATAAAAAAGTTGCTTAAAAAAAGAAAGATAATAGTGTACAGTATTTACAGCTTAAATGTCACGCTTTTTTTTAATTGAAGCTAAACTATTACATGAGCATGCAGTACATCCACAACTCAGAACAAATATCTTTTGTACAGTGTAATATAATCCTGTACAAAGCATAGATCAAATACATGTTAAATCACTCTTCTCCATCACTGTTCTTGCTATCTTTGAACTTCATAACAATGCATAGGTCTCAACCCTTCAGCTTAGGTAACTTCATAAAATGAAGATACGAACATTCACTTCTAATACAAATATGAAGAATGCATTCTATCCACACCTTATGGGGCGATACCATGCTGCATTGTGTATGATCTATTGTTTAAGTCACGCTTGATGAAAAACCACACTGAAGGAGCACAATTTTGTCAGTGGACTAATGGATATTTTTACCTTTTTTGTGTTTAAACTTTTTCAAATTCCTGTTTTCCTCTTCTCCTTATTTGCTCAGCCAAATGCAAAAGGTTAGAATGCTGATTGGATTTGTAAAGCTTATAGTACAACTGTTAAAGTTATCAATACAGATGCTAAATACTGTAGTCTTTTTCTAACTGTAAAACAGGTACCTATTCTTAGTGCTTTCTGTAAGCATTTCTGAAGAATTATGTGCTATTCTATATATTGTCACAGTCAAAAGTTTAGTTACATAGATACCTGATTATCCCTTAAAACCCCAAAAATATTAAGGACCTTCAGAACTTCATTATCTGTATAAAAATTAGGCACATTTCAAACAAGTAAAACCTCCAGCCAAGTAATTTTAAAAGCTTTTAGATTTTTAGCTCCCATGGTTTCATCAATATACCTTATAATGATGGATAATCCAGAAACAGATTTTACAATGGTGATACTAAATACCAAATATCTCAAGTAAACTTAGAAAGTCAGATCTCAAATCAAAATCAATGCCATTTGTATCAACCAAGTATTGTTTATTTTATTGAAAATATCTCTTCAGTATTTACTTTGCCTTATACTTGTTGTTTTTTTTCAGTTCACACAAGATGCACAAAAGGACATGCTATCCATTCCTTTTAACAACTCACAAATTCTGTCAAATTCAGGTAGTAACTTCCTAAAGTCTTCAGTAAATACAAGATGAACAATTAGCAGTGCAAAAACTGTGTGTTCCTGAAAGAAAATACTTCTTTAGATCATTGCTTTAGAGCATAATTGTTTTTACACCTGCTACACTGGGAGAATACTCTAAGCAGTAATACATCTTTAGGGGCTTTAACATATCTTTGTGATTAGATTTTAAATTAATGCACAAAGTGATTTCAAGTGCAACTTCAGGCACAACTGTGGCTAGCATTGTGCTGTCAGTACATAATCTTTCACACTCACAAGATATCAAACATATGTACTCAAGTTGAATCCTACCTTCCATGATAACTTAATTTTCCCCAAAAGGATGTGCAGTTAAATATACAAACTAATGCAGCCCAGCTAAAGACTTCACTCCTGGGACAAAGTACAGAATGCTTTTCCCACTGACCTTTTTCAGCTCTGTTAAATTCACCTGTACACAAAGAACACTTATGCCTTCTGAAGAAACAGCTGATGATTTAAACAGTCTTTTTACCTTAGGCTGCTCCCAATTTAGAGGTTAAAAAAAAAAAGTAATAATTGAAAAGGTATCCCATCAATATGCTCATGCAGCTTTATGTTAAAATCTGGTAACTTTGAAATAAAGTTATGCTCTAGCATTTATATGTATGCAGTACTCCACCATAATTTATGAACAAAATTCAGAATTTCATTTTAACTAAAATCGCTTGGAATTAGATTATGTTGCAGTTGCCATCTAACAACCAATCTCCACATTTTCCCCCTTAACAGAAATACACATACAATGAAAAAGCCTATTTCTAGAAATCAAAAAAGCAACTAAAAAAATTTTCATGTTTACAATTGCATTTTTAAGCCTTATTAGTGTCACATAATTTTTTTGGGAGGGGGGCCCTAACTGATTCATCCACACTTCGTTGCACCTAGGAATACTATTGTGTCTGCTTATCTGGAATTACACAGGTGTGATGTGGAATGGCTGTGTACAAAACCATGCAGTTTAATGTGCTCATGATAAAATATTTAGATTTAATGCAGGAAAGGCATTATTAGAATATGCCTAGTGCGTGAAATACATAAATTAAAACAGAAAATAACAATTACATCAGTTCTTATAGCCCCACACAACAGCATTCAACTACAGATTGTAAGCAAAATAAATATCAAATAATAAAATGCAATATGTTGTGGAGGAATACTATTTCCCTTAGCATAATAAAAACATTGTACTTCAAAAATAGAAAGCTATTTTAGACAAAATCAGGACTACTCTCTTTGGTCCATGTCAAATGTTCAAAACTGGTTAAATTATTGGTTTTTTTTCAAAAAAAAGTTAACAGCAAACATCAAATCATCGCTACTCAAGTACTGAGATTAGTTTAATAATATCAAAATTACCACAAGATGAATGACAATAATTACTTGGAAGATTTTTTTCCTAAAATAGAGCTGCAGTTTTTGAGTCAAAACAAAATTTTTTGATCTCGGCAATAGGTCAGGCCAATCAGAGCAGCGACAAATATTCCTTAGCTGATTCCCAAGATGAGAACCAGAAGACTAACCACCTCAAGTTGTATGTATACCAATATGCATGGTATTTGTGGAAGCTTTATGGAATGCCTCTGAGTCAAGATCAGAGAGGCTGTCCTCGATTCTTACTGAAGGCATCTGCTACTGACCTCCAAACCAAGACAATAAGGCCAACAAAGCAATATTTGGGTCACTTAGGCAAGCTTTGGGTCACCAGAATCTGGTTCTTATGAGTGATACCCAGAGACTTGTTGGAAGAACAATACAGCAGCTCACATGTTAACCATCAAGTGCCTGGAATACATAGAGCACATATTTGGAATACAAATATTAGATGAGCCAACCAAGAATGAGACACTGCTGGACTTGCTACTTATAAACCAAAAAAACCTGCTTTGTAATATTCCACTTAGTGATAGGCTTGGCTGCCACAATCAAAGTATTGTGGAGTTTGGGATCCTGCTGAGCACGCTGAAGACATACATTTTAGATTAAGAAGAGCAAACTTCAGCATGCTCAGACCTCAGTCGAGAGGGATGCCATGGTCATCATGGAGGATAAAAGGGCTAGTGAGTGCTGGGAGTTTTTCAACAACAGTCTCCTGGAAACATAACACCAGTTCAACCCCTTTAAGGTCAGGAAAGCAGGCAGAGCAAGAGACCACCTTGGGTTAACTGTGAACCTCTGAATCTGCTCACAGCCTGAAGAGAAGCGTACCAGAGATAGAAAAGCAGACAAATAGCCATGGAGAACTATAAGGACATTGACAGGGTGTGAAGAGATACAGTTAGAAAAGCAAAAGTTCATCTTGAATTGAAATTGGCCAGAGATGTCAAAAACTCCAAGAAAGGGTTCTTCAGGTATGTAAATGAAAGCAGAAAGAAAATATCAGCACCCTGTTAAAACAGGAGAGTTGAACAGTCACCAACAACACTGAAAAGGCAGAGATTTTCTCAACACTTCCTTCCTTCCCCTCCATCTTTATCAGCACTGCCAGGCCCCCAGCCCTGGGACACAGAAATCCAAGTTGATGCAAACACAGACCACACTCTCAGACAGTGAAGGAAGAGTTGGTGTGCAACTTGTCAGAGGAGCTTGAGCCCCCATCTACAAAAAGGGCTTAAAGGAGGATTGAGGAAATTATAGGCCCATCGGTCTTTACTAGAGTCCCTAAGAAAGTTATGGAATGAATCCTCTGGGGGTTACCACAGGTCAGATGAATCACATGATTGGGAAGAGCCAGTAGGGATTCACCAAGGGCAAATCGTGCTCGACGAATCTGACTGCCTTCCATGACAAAGTAACCTGCTCAGTGGACATAGCACCAGTGATGGACATTGTCTACCTAGACTTCTCCAAGGCTTTTGATGTGGTTTCCTACAGCATCCTCCTAGAGAAACTGATGTGTGACGGTCCAGATGAGAGGCCTGTGCAGTGGGTGAGGAACCGTCCAACAGGCTGCACCCTGAGGGTGGTGGCAAGTAGTTCCTTTGCAAACTGGCAACCTGTCACATGTGGGGCCCTCCAGGGACTGATACTGGGCCCAACACTTCAATGCCTTCATAAGTGATCTGGACCACGGGATCAAGCATATCCTGACAAAGTTTGCTGATGATATCAAACTGAGTGGGGAAGTGGACATTTTAGAAGCAAGAGTCACCCTGCAGAAAGATGTACGTAGGCCGGAAGAATGGGCAAACAAGAACCCTATGAAGTTCAACAAGGATAAGTGTAAGGTCTTGCACCTGGAAAAACATAATCCAGAAGTGCAGCACAGGCTGGGATCAATATGGCTGAGTAGCAGCTCTATGGAAAGGGACATGGGCGTCCTGGTGGACAAGCAGCTCAATATGAGTGAGCAGTGTGCTGTTCAGCAAAGAAAGCCAGTGGGATGATGGACTGTATCAACAATGGCATCACCAACAGAGATAAAATCATCATTATCCCACTCTAGTCAGGCTGCTTGTCAGGCCACACCTGGAATACTGTGTGCAGTTTTGGTCTCTGCTACACAAAAAGCCTACATGGACAGGCTGCAGAGGGTCCAGAGAAGGGCCACAGGGATAAGCGATGCCTGGGAAGCCTGAGATATGAGAAAAGACAGAGAACTGGGTTGGTTCAGCCTTGAGAAAAGAAGGCTTAGGGAGGAACTTACCACCATATTCCAATTTTTGAAGCATAGTTATGTTTTCACAAGGAGTCACGTGGAAAAGATGAGGGGTCACGGGTACAAGTTACTCTGTGAGATTCCAGTAGGAGACTGGAATAATTCTATTGGAACAATCTCCCCAGGGAAGTGTTGGATTCCCCAACATTGACTGGCCATTTTTAAGATTTGGCTGGACAGGGTGTTGGGCTATCTCGTCTAGACCATGCTATCGACAAGAAAGGTTGGACCAGATTATCTTTGAGGTCCCTTTCAACCTGATATTCTATGATCATACTGATAAACTGGAAGTGTGTGGAATGTTTAAATCTTTAACAGTAGTTTCTAACAAAGCAGTAGAAGCTCTCTCACATTAAATATCATATTCAGTACTCCCACCTCTTCCAAAGACTAAATTGTGTTGATGCATTATTTGTTCTGCACAAAGCAGAATGTGCCTAGTGATACAACGCAGAGACAGGCAGGGCTATTTGAAGATAGTGCTAAAACAGCCCATATGGACATCTGCACAACGCTGTATTGTCCAAAGGGAACCAGAGTACCGTCAGTGCCATTCACACACAAGATATCTCCATAGAATAATGAAGCGAGGCAGGGGGGAGGGGAAGGTTATCTAAAGTAATTTTATGTTTCTTGGAAAAGTTATTTCAGTTGTTAGTATGTGTCAGGTATAAAACACTGCAAAGCCACCATTCATATATATATATATATATGTATACACACATGCACACTTATATCCATAAACTGCACTGACTAAAGCACCTTAGGCTTAACAATGGTCTTTCTAGGGATGTGGAATGAAACTTAGAAGTTTTGCAGACATAAGGCCACTTATACTTCCTTTCACTGTTGGAGTTATTATGCAGTACGTTTATGTTATGATCAAAGAATACTTCATGGACAAACTATTTGTCCTCATAAATTCCTCACAAGAAACAGCTGAAAACAAACTTCTGTCAAATAAAGCTTTGTCTCTGTTAAGCCATTTAAGCATTATATTATCTGCCTGTCCCTTGTTGCCAGGCAATAATGACATACAATGCAGAGACAACTAAGCACACAGGTTTTTAAAAGTGATTATAACAATCTAAGAAATGAAAATTACTTGGAGAAAGGTAACTTAAAACCTCCAAATATGCCTCCTGCAAAAAAAGGAAAATTACAATGGCAACAATTTCATTGGCACTGTAATTAAAATGAAGTTCATCAATAAAAGTATATGTATCTCATCAGTTAGTAGTAGTCTGCTGCAGTTTAACCTAGTGAAAGACAGCAAGTCATTGATCATTGGCAGCATAACAGCCTCTAGAAAAAATACGAGTTGAGATGTTCAAGGAAATTTGGAACCTGGGAAGACTTTTCAGTGTGAGTTAATGTGGAGACAATCTAAACTACAGAATACAGTCCTTCATTATATGGTTGGTTTTGATTCAGACAAGCATTTCCAGGTTGTCAAACAAAATGTTTGATGTCTGTTGAATAAGACATTGTATCAAGCAACCAAATGAAATTGAAATAACCAAAACAGAACAAGAATGAAGATGTAACAGGGTTTTTTTTAATCCTCTCCCCTAAATATATACGTAACAAGGCACATTAGGAGAAATATCTTCAATTATTTTATTATTCAATTTGACTTAAATACCTGAAACCAGTTTTCTCACAATTTAAGACAATGGGGAGAAGTTTCAATTGCTTTTTACAGTTGTAATAATTTCATTGTCTACTAAAGTGCAATGGTTGTTTGCCAAAAAGTATAAGCAGAATGTAAAAGCCACAAGACAAAAAAACAAACTACAAAAATAAGGTTTTGAAGACATTCAAAACAATGAGAGTATATGTATTCAGCCACATTTTTAAAGCAATTCAAAGTCAAAAATATAACACTGAAAATGTTTAAAAACCTATATTTTAACTTGTCCCCTGCAAAGCCCATAACTGGTACATTTTACAAACAAGACTTAAATAAAGAAAACAAATAATACTTATAAAGAAAACAAATAATATTAGCTTTCTTAGTACTTAAAAAAAATATGTGGGGTAAGATAAAGGCAGACAGGTTAATTTGTTATTTTTGAAGCACTAAGCAATGACTGCATTTTAAGCTATATTTTAACCATATTGTTTTATCTGTGCAGTAGGTGCCCACTGTTTTCAACAGCCTGGAAAATCTTTTCGACATCATAACAGCAAAACCTTTGAGCAATTTACTCTCCCTTTCAGTATTCAGAGCCAACTGCTGAAAAGCATTCAGATGAGGAAAGATGTAAAAGATTCCTTATTCCTCATAGAACTTTGTCTTTTAAATTTTGTATTTCGTAAATAGTCATTAGACCTAAAATTTCTATTTACTCCAAAACACACTTAAGACATTCCACATACACAACACTACTGTCCCTTTTAAACTAGAAAAGTACAAACTACTGGAAGCTAAGTATTTGAAAGTTCCAGGTATCTTAATCTTTCCAAAGTTTTGAAGTGTTCAGAAACAAGATAGTAAATACATTAGTGCTGCCCCACTTCCAAATTTTTGGAGTATAGCAATTATTTTATTAAACTTAATATTTTTGTTCAGTAGAAAAATGGTATATCATGTTTTTACCTCTCTCCATTTTCCTCATAGGTGTATTGTCTGAGAGCCTGTTATATTTGTGTGTTCTTTACAGAATATATGTAAGGTTAAGTGTCCCATCACTGCTTAAATAAATATAAGGAGCTTATTTGCAACAAATATCCTTTCTGAGGTTTGCAGAATGGCTGATAACCATCTGTATGTTTAAGAAAAAATAATTTCAAGGAAAACATCAATTTAAGGTTTGTTTGTGCATACACAACAGATTGTACTTAGTAACCTTCATACAGTCTCCTTAAACTCCTGATTTCTGACAGGCTAAAGTCACGAAGAAATGTGCTAAGCTTCAGAAAACTGCCATAAGCCATTCTTCACATAGTGCTAATTATATCAGGGTTGTTAAAGCTGTGGTTCTTAAGCCCCATCAAAATTCATCCACATTTTGAAACAGATCTAACAGTTGTTTTGAATGCTGAACAAGAACTTTCAGCATTGAAACAGATTCTGCTAATACAAAAGTCAGTTATCTTACTATTTCACTAGAGCTCAAAGAGAATTGTGTATGTTCACAGTACTCTGCCATATTTCAAAACTTACCCAGCCACCTGCTCAGAATTAAACTCCAAGTTTGGCACATACAGCAATTTTCAGGACCACTCCTTAATACTTTATTACATGTTAAGAACAATGATTCCATCACCAAGCATTAACCTGACTGGCAGCTGTTCAAGGTGCTTCATCTCCACTCCGCACACCAGGATTGCACCTTGCCTGTGACTGAGGCACGTGAGGTGCAGTGCAGAAGTACAACAGTTCCAACACTAGAGGACAGTCTGTTCATTTGACTGAGCCTCTAGATTTGTAGTGCACTTTCCACATAGCTTCCTTTCTCTTGCACAAGAATTCAAGTTCATAAGCTGATGAATCCACTTCCAGGAAGCTTCTCCTCATATTAAAGATTTCCTTAAGACTAGTTGATTTTCCCCCCTTCTACATAAGTCTCAAAGCGTTGCAAGAATTCTTGAAAATGAGATAATTAATGTCAGTACTGTCTGTCCAACACCAAAGACAAGAGCTTCTAGGGGAGCCATATTCTTCCCTGCTACTCTGTAAATTCCAGCTACTGCAGCACCTAAGAATCACAAGAAAAACAATTATCAAATCACAGAAAAAGCCAAGGTTGAAATATGACAAATTATTTACTGTCTCTATGCATCAGCTATTTATAAAATGTTACCAAACACTTTATTACTTCATGGCATTACACAATTATCAGCCTTGCTTGTGTTTTTCTAGTTATGTATGTCCTTCAGGAATGATTTTCCCAACTGAACCAGAAAAACTTTTCCTCATCAGTCTGATTTAAGAAAATTGAATTAGTTGTTTCCTTGTAAACATATTCAAATGTTTCTTTTTACATTTTTGCCTTGTGCCAGTCTGAAAAGTAGCAAAACAATCCTCTAAAAATTGATCAAGTCCAAAGTGTGATTTAATACTGTTTGTATAGGCAGGGAGAAGACAACAACAATACAGCTGTTAGCATTTACAAAATAATTGTAAACACACATTTATCAGCTTCATTTAATATTTCAGTTGACTAACCTGGTCATATTACGTCAGTTTAGTTTTGTCTTAAAGACTCAACTGTTAACAACTGTTTAGCAAATCAAGCAAAACACGAAAAAGATCAAAGTACTGCAGTGTTATCCATGAAGTGTATGAGAGGAAATTTCTAACCAATACAATTAGATTTTGAGCTATAACACACTACAAAGCAAGAGACCATATTTTTGTACAGTTCTGTACAAATTCACATTTAAAGTATAATACCAAACGGCCAGGATCAATCAAAAACAAAGCCAGATGCTACTAACACTGTAAACAAAGTCAGATGTTATTAACTCCCCTCTACTGTCTTTCACATACCAAAACTATCATGTGCGTTTGAAGAACAAAAGTCACAGAGCAAAGGGATGTCACAGAGCAAGTGGCTGAGAAAGATGAGTCCTTGTATCAATTAAAAAAAAAAACGCAACAAAAAATGCTAATGATAAGTGATATTTTCTGCTCAAATTTCTGAGTCTTTTAAGGATGGCAAAATGTTTACTCAAAAAAAGAAATACTCGCTTGTATACAGCTGTGTCCATAGGTAAAATAATGTACTCAATCCAAACCTCAGAAGTTTACCTAGAATTAAGCTTTCATTTAATACTTTCTGAACTAATATTGTCTATACAGTGCTTATTTTCTTCTCTGAAGGTCAAACATTACTATCTTTTATTTCAGAATTAATAACTTTTTCCTGAAAACCAAACCCAAAACTTAGTAGTAGGCCTTCAGTGTGCATGGTATCAGATGCTATCTAGTCATAACTACATGCTTTCAGAGATCATAGAGGCTTTTTAAGGCTCAAAGAAAACTGAAAAGCCAATACAATTTTTTACAATAATTGAATTTGTTTTTTGTTCTGCACAGTCACTAACAGGAATAGTCTGTTGAAGTGATCAAAAACCCAGTAGCATCATAGAAATATTCTGAGTCCCAACAGATTTTCTGAAAGTACAAGCTGTATCTGCATCATCTGACGTCTTCAAAAAGGAACACCTCATTTTTACAAAATTTTTAGGAAGAGCAGAATTCACTAATAATTGTGGCCATAACAGTACTTACAAACACTATTAATGAGACTGTTAGGTAAGTTTTGGGTTAATTTATTTTTTATTGTTGTTTTTTAAAAAACCTCAAACATATTCTATAAAGTATATTTTGTCAGAAATATCTCACCAGAAAGCCTGCCTTATGGTATTTCACTCAACTGCCTTGCATAAGCTTTTTCATTTGTTCCTTGGCTAGCTGCTGTCAAAAAACAAAAGAGATCCTTTAGACTACTGACACGAAAATTATTTTTGTGGTTGAATTCTCAAAGTGAATTCAAATTGGCCAAATGTGCATAGTAGAATTTGGCGCTATTAGTTAATCAATAACAGAAATGTTGGGCTTCTTGAGAAAACACTGAGATATTCTGGAAAATATCCATAATAAAACAATAAAAAAATCTGGTAGTTTGCTAATTATGTATTATTACTCAAATAACAGTGTGTAATACAACCTGTAATGCATAACCCAGCACCAACCCAGTTGGTACAGTGCCAAAGTACGCTACAATAGGCTGCCAATAAGCAAAATTAGAATACGTCACCAAAAAGGACTGTGCTGGGGGAGAGGAAGAAGAACAAACGCTTCTGGATGGCATACAGCTAAAATCCTTGCCTTAAGCTGCCTGATATTATCTGTTCTTAGTTGGCTTGGGAAGAGTTTTTGGTTGTCGTGGGTTTTTTGGTTTTTTTTCTTGGTTTTGTTGAGTTTTGTGGTGGGTTTTCTTGATTGGAGGTTGGTTTTTTAATGTATCTCCTGCTATTTAGTAAATTTTTAATACCTTTTTTAATAACCATCAAATTCCATGCTTTTTTTAAAACTTAGAAACGAAGGAGTTTCCTGCTTTTCTGTATGCTGGTAAAGAGACCCCCAGAAGACCCCAGAAAGTTGGAAAGATCTACCTGAGCAAAACTAAACTTGCATTATTTAATAATCTATATTGCCTTCATTCACCTACATGAACAACACAGAAGACTGGAAATACAAAGTAGGAGTTGATGTCAGTTTGCTATTTCAATTTCTTAAGCCTTGTTTGGACAAGGCATATCCAAACAACTAATACTTCAACTTGCATCTCAGAGTTTGCAACACAATAGCTATGAAAAATCCCCTTTAGTATTTGATCACCATAATTTGTCTTCACAGAAGCTCTCCAAAGAATTTCTTCCAGAATGAAACAACCCTATTTTGGCCAGAAACAAGAAATACCTGAGAGTAAAAGTATTTGGCTAACCAAGCTGCAGTGCTCCATGCAAAACCTTTGGGAATAGTACAAGTCTACAGTCTAAGCTTAGAGAAATTCTCAGATGCATTTGCATGGAAACAGGACTGCTTACTTGCTAAATGTTTTGACCTGAGAAACTGGATGCCAAAAATACAACTCTGTTGCTCCTCTTTTTATGCACAGATAAAAGACGCAAAGTGCTTCCATTTGAGAAACACTGATCCTGAACCTTCCCCACCACAGAAAGCTGCGAAAGTCTCAGCTTGGATATTCTAACATCATGTTTCCTAATTTCAGTTCTTCAGAAATGCCCATGCATGGCTGACCCTGTAACAGGCCACTGCCATTTTAATCATAGGCACTCACCTAGTTCCACCTCATCTTAGCAAAAAAAAAAAAAAAACACAAAAAGTAGAGTTATGCTGAACTATACTATGTTGAAGGGTAGAAATTCTAGGCTGAGAAATATATAGCAATTAACACAACCCTTTGAGGAAAGTCTTAATGAAGCTTCTTAGGAAATTTGCATTTTTATTTAACCTTAAAAACCAACAGGCAAGAAGGATTTTCAGTAGCAATAAGAAATAATCTGTCACAAATTATCCATGAATCTGTCCAAAGTTGAAGTGATAGCACTATTCAGATGACCTGGCCAATACATCGGGAAATAGGAATGAAAGGCAGGAAGGTTTGCCTACAGAGTAAATGATGTTTCTAGATTTACAGTTCCTTACCCCCGAAGGCCTTTCAAGTTAGGCCATCTGGTCAACAACACTGAAGATCTTTGGGCAAAAACTATTGCTCAGTAAACATAGGCACCATTCAATACATTGATTTGAATGTTGAAACCTTACCAGCATTGTTTCACACAATGAAGCACATGTTTCTTTCCTGTAAAAAATAATATTCACTATTTCCCCTGCAACAGAAAACTCACCACGCTCCTAGTTGCTTGGGAAAGCTACTGTAGTCTATAAGTTAGATAAACGTAGCTAGATATGAGAAAGCCAAAGACTGAATAAAGTGTCCTAAGGGTTTTATGGCAGTACTGACACAGACAACAGAATTTCTTAGGAAAAATGGAAAAGCAGCATCTGACACCAATAACTCTAGATTAAAACAGCTAAACAGCATTTCCTCAAAACATTCTTGGCAACACTGGTCATGTGTCACATTCGGTCAGGTGTAACGCTTCTGCACTTTACTACATAAAATACTCCCACTTTCTGCAGTGTTCTAATCATGAATATAGGTTTTAATAGCTTTAACAGAAAAAGGGTTGCATCTTATCTGTGGATACAATACCAAGAAACAAAACAAAAAAAAAAAAAAAAAAAGTATCTTGAGTGGTAGGCATTAGGCTAACACCATAAGAAACTCTGTAACAGATGGCCTGGCAAACATCATTTTACCTAGAACATCAGCACAGACTAATTTTTTTTGGGGGGACGGGGAGGAAATCCTTAATAAACAATTAGTAAGTCACTTAAAAAACCATTTTTTTCTTTTTAGAAGTTATATGCAAAATAAGAAAGAAAAAAGAACCCAACAAAAAAGCCCAAACAAAGCAAAAGGCAGACTTACTGGTTATCATGGCTCCAGTTATAGAACCCAGAAATCCAATGCTGACCACAATGACAGAGATCAGCCTCCCCTGCCTATGCCTCTGCAGCATCACAAACATTAATACTCCCACAGCACCATGGACAAAGAGAGAGGAGAAGAGAGCCCAGAGGAAAACCCAGTACCACATCTCTGAAAGAAAGCAGTCAATAAAGGGTTAATATTTTTTAAACAAGAACTTTATAAGCAAGAAACTTTAAAACATCGCATACAATCAACAGTAAGAGAAAAGCAATACTGGTTTCCATCTTAAAAGTAATACATGTGACACCATCAGCATACACTCAAGACACTTTCCCACTTTTAGCAGTCTACCATAAAGGAATAACTACTATGATAAAAATTATAAAAAGGATTCTGGCAAAAATCTTAATTCAGGTGTATTTTTACAGGAAGTCATAATTCCTTTAATGGTTTCTTTAAACAGTGTTAATTGCAATTTCTTAACAGGTATTGTAACTACTGCTGCAGAATGAAATATTCCCTGACAAAAAGACTGAGTGAGGAAAAAGTCAAGAATGTTTTGGGGGTTTGGGTTTGTTTTGATGGTGAACTTATATTTTGGTGGGGTTTTTTTTGTTGTTGCCCCCTCTCCCCCTAACTCCATCAATAAGAGACAGCATCAGGTAACATCAAATGGGAAAACTGAGATTAAATACTTCAGTTTATCTACCCAGGAGCTGTAATAGAGCATTCCATCAAATTAGCTTCAAAGGCGCAAGTAAAAACACCACAATTTTAAAAAGAAATTCTAAAATATCTAACTCCTTGTTTCCAATTGCTTAGCACAGAACTTCAGAGAGAGGTAGGCACTATTATTTAAATTACTAAACAAGGACAAGAGATCTGAGAATGTGTGGAGTACAAACATTTCTTTGAAGAATGGCAGACATGATGATCACCTTCAAAGAAAAGAGCTAGAACCATCAATGAAGCTACACAATAATTAAAGAACCTTTCTCACTTAGTGGTAATTTTCTAAAAACTTTCACTATAAATCAAAAGGGTGGGTAAATAAAAGAAAAAAATCCCCTTTAAGTCAACTACAGTAGGTATATATCATCACAGAATTCAGCAAATTGGGGTACATATTCCCGATGGACATAACACCAAGACACTGTCATTAGTTCAGAGTTTCTGTTGCAGTTCCCCCTCATAAAAAGAACAAAGACCAGCTTCCTTACAACAGCAGAATACTTATCGTTTATGAGGTGAGTCTGTAATAAAGCAGCTTGACTCACATCAGCTATTCAAGTAAAAATACAAACCAACTAGCTAACAAAAATCCTGAGCAGCACAAAACATACCATGAAAAGACGCTGAGAAAGAATGGCTGCTACACAACCACAGTCCTATGAGTCCAATGTCAGTAGTGTATGTATATCCATAGCACAAATACAGAGTTTAAGCCTTTTCATTTAGCAGTTCTTTGAGAATAGACTCAACCCTTCTTCTCCTTTCACACAGGTACAAAAGGCAAAACTATGCCCAAAGATGTACAACTCCTCTAAACTGTGATAACCAAAAGGCTCTTTTAAGAGAGCAGCAAGGAAAGTGGGTGGTAAATCTACATTCAATTAAAACTTCAGCTATAGTTCCAGGTGTAACTTCTCTTTTTGAGTGCCTAGATACACGCGCACATATACTGAGAGTGGCTCGAAGCAGCTCTCCTCAGAACCTCCACCCCCCTTCGCCCCTGGCCCCAAGCTGGGTCTCAAAAATCTTTGCAAAAGGGTAAAGACTATGGTACTGTTCTACTAAATGTCTCATTACTCTCAGAAGCTACTGTGACAAGTGGCAAGAATGTCAAGTAGTCATTCCACAGATGACAAACCCCCTCACTAACATTAAGAAAGATTGACTGCTGATCTAATCTGCTGTGGTCACGGATAGTTTGGGAGGCAAATTTCCCCTGCAGTCCTAACAGGCCTTGTCCATTACTAGCACAGCTTGGGTGTTCCCACTGTTTTATTCTAGTGGAAGCACATAAGCAAGAAGATTAGCCAAAGAATCTACCAATACAGAACCCAGTAGCCCTGCCAGGGGGGGAAATAAAACCTTAGAACCAAACTAAACCAGATCGAGAAAGTCTATTTGAATCTGACTCTACCACAAACACTGTTATACCCTGTAATTTTCACAGGGTTTGCTAGGCACTGCATCACCTTTTAGGAAATCAGCGTTTGTGGTCATTGTCAAGCCTCACCAGGTAGAAAAAACCAAATTATTTCCAGTCTTACGAAGACTTACTAGGATGATGGTATTTTTAGAAGAAAATGAAAGCTTATGGGAAGGTTAACTACTCTCCTGTAGCTAAGAAACCAAAAATATTTACAAACCCTTACACAACAAAATAGCTCCATAATGAGCAACTATCTTTGGTCTTATATACATTCCAAATAAGGTTCTAGGAAAATTAGCATCAGCCCTCACTTATATTTAGGGCAGAAGGCATGAGAAAAGAACCAGCACCAAACGTCCTGTTGGCTAAAGGAATACAAAATTGAGTTCTTTGGTACACACTTTCTTCTCCTACTACTTAAAAGCGACACACGTACTGAATGCATTGAAAAGGAAATTAGAGAATATCCAAAAATATTCCTTGTTTGACAAAAATGCAGCTGCAGCTTTGTTAAATATGACCTTCCTTCATTAAAATATCACCTATGTCTTAGGAGCTGAAACAAGACAAATAGCTTTTGAGCACCATCTCTGGGAAAGGCAGGAAGAATTATCCTTTCTTATTCTCCTTTATTTACTCTTTTTATGCCTGCTACTTCAACACACTCATTTACTTCAGCTCATTAATTGAGCGAGTGATGAAGCTGAGTAAGTTGTTTAACATGGATGAACAAAGTAAGGGGAAAGCCAATCTTTTAAACAAACTAGAGGAGACTTCGAGATCCGTAAATCTAGAGGACAACGTAGACATTCTTATCCTGACACGTTGAGGGCAGAGAATTATATATTTCATGTTCTATAATCATGCAACCCCTGAATCATGACGAGAGACGACTCTCAAAAGAAGTGTGTTAGAGTAACACTGAAAGACACAAAGAATGGGTTGGGGGTAACATCGAGAGATGCCACTATAAGGCAGAGAAACAGAATGTGGACCTCTGAAAACAAATGGTCAAGACTTCACTTGTTCAAAAATAACTGAGTAGTTTAACTGTTGAATTGACTTTCAGTATCTACAGGGAAGAGGGAATGAGACTGAAGTGTCTTAAGAATATGCTGGCACATTTATTTATGTCCTATATACTGACTGATACTTTAAGCAGCATAAACTTATGTAGACAATCATCTTTGTTACCTTGGTAAAAAGAAAGCGCAGTTGAATTTCAGTCTTTGTGTAGCTATACTAGTTTGCTCTTTTGACAACATGAGCTGCACATATAGAGTACTTTGCTTTTGTGGTGGTAATGATTTAGCTGTATCTGGCAGAGAGCTTCAAATACTAACCTACCCTCAGCTTATTTAGTCGGGCTCTCACAGAGCTTCCTTAAAGAGACATGAAAAGTATTAAATTTTAAAAAAATTTCAAAACTTCCTTTGCTTAACCCTAGAAAAGTTTCGGAGCTTACTTTCAGTGTATCCAAATTGCTTTAAGTCACCAAAACTTGTCATACGTGTATCAAAACTCCACAGTTCCTAAAGAAACACAGGGAAGTAGAAAATGCCCAGTATTTACAAGCTCACAAGCACAGTGACATTCAATCTATTGCACAGATGTCACAGCTTTTCTAAGAAAACAGTTGAGATCTGTTTTTCAGGTTTACTTAAATTTCTTAGCATTTAAACACTACCTTAAATCTTGTTTTCAGTTTATATTCCTTTCCGCTGGTTTGCCTCTGGTGGGGATTTTTTTTCTACCAGAAAAGCTGCAAGACTCAAATAACTTGCAATTGATGTCCAATCACAGCAGTTTTCGAGTACTACTTTGTTAATTTCAACATGTATACATATCAGATGCCTATCACACATACATCATGCTTATGCTCTATAGATACACATTACACATACATTAGTGTAGGCATACACAGCCTTAAACTTTAGAAAAAGTCTTTAAAGTATGTTACTGTTTAGGATACCATTCATATCACTTTCAATTTATCAACACTTGAAGTTACGTTCCATCAACAGCTTCAACTTACACAAATAAAAATGCAAAGTCAACTCAAAATAGATAAATGCTAGCATTTTCAAATATTATCTATATAAACATGCTGTCCTACTGCTACTCAGCTTCAGTAAATACGGAGTACCTCCTCAGTCCTTCATCTTCAGTGCTTTTCCTCTAGTTCTTAGCTTGTTTTGCCAGATGAATAATGATTGCCTATAACATTTCATAAATCAAAAGTGATTACTCCAAAACAAAGTATCTCTCAATTCTAAGCCACATACCCAGCCTATTATGATTAGCTACAGAGTTAAGTCAAGCAGTAAATATGCTATGCTATGAATAAAAAAATACAAATTTAAGTCAATAAGGTAGTGCATGTTACATTTTGAATTAAAAAAACAATAATGTTATATTCCTGTAGACTTATTAATTCAAAGCACTCAGTTGAAGTGATAGTATATTATACCTGCAACAGTAACTCAGCTCTTTCTGTGCTACATTTTTTTCTTCAGCACCAAGTTCTCTACTTAATTAGTGCATTAACTGGTAATTTCAAAGTTAACAGAACTATACAGTCAGTTGTTGTTTGGAGATGCTAATGCTTTTGCTGCTTTAAGTGGAAGAGGAGTACTTTGCTGAAGAGCATTTAAATCTTAAATTACAGGTTAGTTCTCTCAAGTAACAGGATATGGGACAAAGACAATCCAGAGAATTGGGGACAAATGAGTACAGGATGGAACTTAGCAGCTTCTATTAGAAATACTGCCATGTTCTTGGTTACAGAAGTAGCATTAAAAAAAAAATTATTTTACTGGATACTCAAAGGAGGATTTTATTTTTTTTTTTTTAGTTCAAATTCAGCTACTAACTTGAATTCAGCTACTATCTAACTTGATCTAGTAAACCCTGATCTACCACTAACTCTAAAACACAACCAGTTCATATAAAGGAGGTGTTCTTGGGATGTACTGGAGAAGGTAACACAGAATGAGGTAAAAGCCACCTCTCCCATGGTTACTCCTCCCAAGACAGGGCACGAAGATAGGAAGCAAGTGCATTATGGTGGTGGGTCTAGGCTCAAGGAACAATGTTCGCAGCTTCAGCTGTCACAGGGTGTGATGTATAATGTGTATGTGGCAGGAATGAAATTGCCTGTGGTCTCCGGGGTATTTGAGGCCTTATATGAAAGACAGGATTTCTTTTTTTCTATGTTGAACTTAAATTAGATATGCGGTATAAAAATAATCTTTCAGCTTCTAACTAAGGGGAAAAAGAGCCTACCAAAATCAAACTGTTAGGGTTTGAAGCATTCCTGGATTTCATATCAGGTCCCTGTTGAAATTTTCAGAAAATATTTTTAAGAAGGGTGCTGATAAAATTTTGCAACTTGTTTGCACAAACATGATCAACGTGGTTTACCTATAGAAGATAAGTTTTTACTTGTGCAATTTAAAAAGCCCAGTCCAGACCACAACTTTAAGTCCAAAAGTAAACACAAGGCAGTCTTGAATATTCCTGAAACACTGTATATTAATGAATTTCTTTTTCCAGTACTCTGGAGAAGTTTCTTCTTATACTTTACAGAGATGCAAAAGGGAATGAATTAAGTAGTCAAATAAGACAAACTCATTCACACATCTATTTTTTTAGCAGGGAAAACAGCAGAATTTCTGATTTTAAACAAAGTTTACTTTGATAAGTAGTTAGGAAGGGTTTATATAAGTTATTCAGCTTTCTGCTAATATAAATTATTAAATCAATATATATTCTATGTTATATAGAAGATTTTAAATCCAGTGAAAGTCACGGACTGTTAACAGTGCATAAGAACATTCAGGTCAATAGGTTATGGCTAGAAGAAGAACCTGCATTTAAGCACCAATTCCAAATCTGTAGTGCAACTTCAGATGACAGTGACATATTCTCCAACAATACTATGATGGATAAAAATTATTTTTTATATTCTTTAAATTAAACAGAAATAACATTCCACATTAAATATATCTTATGCAACCCCTCATTATATTGCAAAAGCACTGAGAAACAAGCCGTTTTGCTTTTTTAACTCTCAGCACTGAATTTTGTAGTAACGCCCATGTTGCATAATGGTCTAATAGGAAAAACTTTATCAAGGATGTCTGGCACAAAGAAAAGTTAAATCCATTGTGAAATTTTTCCTTTAAGAGTACAAGATATATTTTTAGAGCAGGTATGCAAAAATAACTACTCAGAAAGTGAGTTGTATTAGTGTGTCGCCACACTAATCCCTGGACACTTTAATCATCAGACACACGTTAAAAAGTTCACAGATCAAATAAATAAAAAAAGAATTCTGAAAGTTAAAAGAACAAAAAAGATAATAAACCCCTAAATGATCGTTTTCTGTTTGCTACAGCTTCAACTTCAGCTACACCTCTATTTTCATCATAGTTCTTCCACCTTTAATAGATAAAGAAAAAAGAAGAATAAATCTATCCATCATTACTACAGAGTGCAAAAAAGATGACACAACACTCATAAATATGAGAATATTTTCATAAATATTTAAAACATAGACCCTTTACTCAAAATTTTCCACTACTCTGTCACCACTTAACATACCCGTATACCAAGCAGAAAGAATTTACTCAGTTACGTCTCTGCTATTGATACCAAATCCCTGCTTATTCAGAGCTGGAAGCTTATGCTAGACAGAATAAAAAATCAGAAGATACTACTCTCCACTGTATGCCTTGGCTCTCACAGTAGTGCACACACATTTTGCAGCATGAGAATGAGCAGAAAAAAAGCCAGTTCTTGCCAAAGCCAGCTAAATCTCCCCTCTCCTAACAGAAGATGAGGGCCTGACTCTACTTTGGTTCACAGAATTTTTTTTTAACAGGTAAGTCTTTAAGAACCCTTGATGCTTAAGATTATGTTTATTTGTCAGAAAATATCTGCCACCTCATTCACTCCCACAGCCCTCATTGTCCACAGGTATATTCAAGGTGTGTGGAGGTGGAGGAAGTCTCTGATTTCTTCACATTCATTTTTATGAGTTTTTTGGTTGTTTTTTAAAGCTTTCTGTCAAATGCCAATGAGCATATATCCACAAGGAAAAAAACCCAACCACCCCCACAAACATACTCTAGACTTCCATACATATTTATAGACTCACACACTTTCTACAAGCCTTCACTCACGCACAGGTACCCATCGATTCACTCGCATACACACCCCCTATATCATTAGCCTTCTTTGATTACATACACGCTCATCTCCTTTACTCATGCAGGCATACCAGACACCGGGCACACTCACCGGTCTTCTCAACACCTAACACACGCAGATTCCTCTCGCTTCTCTGGGCGCACACCAACCCCTCGCCCAAGCAGACGCGCACACACACGCTGTATACCTGCTCACAGAGCACACACGAAGGCACGACACGCAGGGACTCGGGAACACAAACACCAGCCCTCCCCTGATGCAGCACACAGGGAGACCACCGCCACCGCCAGCCCCACGCCCTCCATTGTGCACCAGCCCCGGAGCGGCCACCGCGCCGGCGGCGCCGCTCGCCCACCCACCCGCCCGCCCAACGCACCCTTGCACCCGCACTGCCCCGGTACCCGTCAGGTTGCGGAGGACGGTGCCGTGAGCCCACAGGCTCAGCACTTGCTGCACCGACAGGTTGATCATGGAGTTGTCCCCCGCTTCCACCTTCATGGTGCCGCCGCCGGGCGGGGTCCGGCAGCCGCCGGACCGCGGGGCGGGAGGGATGCGGCGGTGAGGAGCGAGAGGGCGGGGAGGCGGCGAAGGGGTCTCCGCGCCGCGGAGGAGACATCGAGGACGGAGAGGGGGAGACGGTGGCCGGGGGGGAGCCGAGCGATCCTGGGGGATGGGGGGAGCTGGCCGCTGGCGCTTCCCCGCCGCTCAGGGGCAGGGTAGGGCGGCTGAGCCCATCGCCCCCGCCGCCGCCTCCTCCTCCTCCATCAGCAGCGGCCGCCGTCGCCTCGCCGGCGGCATCGTCACCCTGGTCACCGGCATCACCTGGAGAGAGGGCGGGGCGAGGCGAGGCGGGGCGGGGCGGGGCGGCTCTCAGGCGGGCGGCTCCATGCAGCAGCGGCAGCGCGGAGGATCCCGGTGCCAGACGCCAACGGCGGCCGGAGGGAAGGGGGAAGGAGCGGAGGAAGCGGGAGCGGGAGTTGAGGCTCGGGAGCGGAGGCAGCGGGAGGGCGGCCCCGCGCAGGCGCGGCGGGAGGGGCCGGGGGGGCGCGCGCTCCTCCCACCAAACGGAGAACCAGGATTCGGAGTCATAATTTGACTCAAGGAGAGCGGGAAAGCCTGGGGCTGTTGTCGACGCTCAAGGAAACTTGCGTTGGGAAGAAGTATGTTAAATAAAATCTATATGCATTCAGATACATATACATAAATCTATATATATATATCGAAAGGGAAAAATAAAATGATAACGCTACCCGGTATTAAAGTTGGTATTAAAGTTTATGCCCTTGCGTGTGTTTAAACATCGGAGAAGAGTACAATGAAGGATCTGAATTCTGAAAACAGAAGTGTTCTCACCTTGCAGCACACAGCATTAGCACACGGAGCTCCAGAGAGCGCGGACGAGAGCACCTCCGTGGTTGGCTCGGCGGGATCTGAGGATACAGCCCCACTGGGGCAGAACGGGACAGGACGAAGAAAGCGGTGCACACAGGATGAATGTTGCTCGGGAAGGCCGGAGCTGCCGGAGCTGAGGTGACAGCACGGGTTGCAGCGGAGAAGCTGTCATCCAGATGCAACATCCAGGCAACGCTGCGTAACCTTCCTGCCTGTCCCTTAGAACCTTAGAGCTCCACAGTCAGCGTGGCTGCAAATCAAAGCCATCAAAAGTTAGAAAACGTCAGAAATCATGAGCGAATCTTGATTCCGTAACCATGCTTTAGTCTGTTCCTTTGCTTTATATAATAAGAGAACACAGTCTTTCAGCTGGACGCGGCTTCTCTCGAAGCACGGGAGGCACGGTGCTTAACCATGTAAAAGCCAGCAATCTTCCCTCCCATCCATTCTTAAATATGCGTCCCTAGGCCGTATTTAGAGTGCATAGTTCTTCACTGGCCTTTCTTCAGCAGTGCTTGCTATAGTACTTCATAAACATCATTTTTGTCACCATCCTTGATGAAAGGGGTTGGAGAGGTAACGTAACTAATTTATAGGCGCAATTTATATCTATATAAAATATATATTTACATTTCTATATATAAAATATACAATATCTATATATATATTATATTTTTTCTATATCTAAATATATATATTTGCAATTTATATGTATCTTGTATAGATGCAATTTATAGATGAAGAGCCACAAGAGATAAATCAACTACTATCCTGCTTGATACCAATGACTGGATTTTTTTTTTTTCCAGATAGACTATTGGTAGGATATCTGGTTCAGCAGTGCTCCCAAAGCCCTTTGTTTGCAGCTGACAATGCTTGGCATTTCTGCAAGTAGGTATCAAGCCAGACAATGAGAAACTCACAGGGACCAGCTCCCTAGAGGGCTCTGGGTTTGACTGATTAAGCACAGAATCACTGTGTTGGAGAAAGAACTCAGCTGTCAGGCCAGGACCCTGTTCGACGATCAGGGTCCTCTCTCCCCCTCTTCTTGTAATCCCACCACCTTACAGTTGTATCATCCAGGCCTTACAGAAAATAGTTCCCTTTCTTATGCAGTAGTCATTAATTTTTACGGCAGAATTATTCCATACTTTAAGTCAGGCTCAGTGAGAAAATAGCATATTATTTAGGTTTGAATGTGAAACATACAATGAAATATTTAGAAACAGTTATTATGGTTTATTCTTTTTAACTTCAGCATGCTGAACTTTGAGAAAACAAACATTTTTAAATGTCCTTAAAAAAATCCCCAACCCTAAGTTTGTTTGTATTGTAGACCAATGACCCAAGAACAAGCATATTCTACAGGACACTGTGGTGTAGTCAAACTTACAGATAAAAGGAAAACTAACATTTGGTGACCATTTTAGTTCATAAGTCCTGTGGTAACCTACTGAGAGATGTCAGCAAGACAATTTGATAGGCCAGAGGCATGTATGGAAACATGCATATATCTGTATATAATGTTGCATTGGTGCCCGGTGCATATTGATGATTTTTTTTATTCCGTACAAGGAAGAATGCATTGGAAATACTGGCTTTGAATCACTTGTGTCCAGAACTTTCTAAAACACCTTTCACAATGTTTTACCATCGAGGTACAGAAAACTCATTCACTTAGAGGTCAAGTGAGTAATGCTGTAGCCTGCAGACTCTTGCAATATTTGCTGGGAAGCATCCTTCAAAGTTGTGCAGATGCTCTCTCCCTAGAGACTTTTGAAATCTCTTGAGCCTCCCCCAGGGAGGGCTGATCATTCTGCAGCAGTGCAGAGGCTGCAGGAACACAGAGCTTCCAAAGTCCTAGGATAACAAACCGGCTTCCTTCCCAAGAGAGATCCACCAAAACTGCAAGGCAGCTTCCACTGCAACTCCACCTAAGAGGCTAAAAAGGGTTGTCAAACCTCAGTCATACAACGTTTAAATTAATTGAACATTTTCTGATCAAACACCACCAACACACTTGGACAAGCTCTGTTGGCAGTGTAGAAATGATGAACGGGCAGAGACTCATCTTACAGGGGGCCATAATTCATCTCATTTATTCAACTTAGTCCTCATTCCATCATCTAGTGGGTGAGCTGAATACAAATTTGAATACACATTTGTCATGTGAAAACAAGGCTAATTGTATCATTGAGGAAGATATTGTTAAAGGATTGACTTTAAAAAAAAAAAAGGGTGGTACATGGCAGTGACATTTCGCAGTAGCTCAATACTGGGAGGAAATCATGCTGGAGGAATAGAGTGCCTTTAATGAAGCAGCAGAAAGAACAGAAATTAAATCCTCCAAACTGTAGCTTCATACGAGCAGGGAATTGAAGCCAACTCTTTGTTCTCAGCAAAGACCTCTCACTTGGGAGGTGTTGCCACAGAAGTCCTGAGCTTATTAGCTCTCTGCAGGGATTATTATGAGCTCTGTAGGCAGCAATGTACAGAGCAACAGCAATGATGTCAAGGGATCCCCAGCAAGGCTAGGGTTGCTGCTGAAACTGCGAACTACAGGGGGTGTAAAATAAGGATGCTTGAGCAAGGCAAGCAAAGGCAGTGAGGGCTGGAAAGATCTCAGGGAGGAGAAATCACAAGAGGCAGCACTGCCCTGGTGATTAAAGCAGGGGAAATAAGACAGAAAAAAAAATAAAGGAAAAAAAGAATATGATCCTAATATTTCATCAGATAAGGTAGTCCCTTAAATATTAAAGGTTAAAAAAAGAGAAGTAGCTCTTTTGTAAGGGCCTAGTGAGACCACTTCATACCCCTGTGATACCTTGAAGTGGGGGAGGACAGGCATAGCAGAGAATGTGGGGACACATCAGGGAGGGCGGCTGTGTCAGAGAGGGCTTGGAGGGCTTACTGGTAGGGTGGCAGAGGGAGGACTGGCAGGCTGGGGGTATGACCAGCTCTGATAACACTCCACTCCACAGAATAGGGATTAAGAGAGGACTTGTAACTGCAGGGAAAACAGGGGAGAGGGGAAACAGCCCCACAAATAAACCTTCACCATTTGTGTACAGACAAACCCCATGTTTCCACTTCTGTGTGGTATTTCAGGAGCAGCCCACACAATTCACATGGTCTGCCTGACAGCCAGCCCTGAGCTATCACTAACAGCTTAGAGATTCCAGGCAGCCTTTACATGTACGAACCTGCTGGTGAAAGGGTCCACAAGGAACACCTGAAAATTTACACACGGACTGATCTGTATCCCAGATGAGCTCGCTTTCCTTCCAGTGTAACTCCTCCTCCCCTTTTCCCTCACAGCAGCTGCAAAGCAGTGCAAGGAGCCAGCTGTAAACCTTGACTTCGGTCAAAGGAAATTAGTTTTACAGGTGGAAAAGTAGGGTCAGTTTAGTTTCTCTGCACTGCGAAAGATTAGAATATGTCTACATAAGCTGCTATTAACTTCAGGTATTGCTTTCAGAAGCTGAAGAAATAATGATAAATTTCATTGGAGAGTCCTTGGCTGAATTATTTTCCACTTGGAAATGTAATGCTGTTCAAAATGAAATGATTTCTTAAGTCTTTTCAGAGAAACAGACAACACTGAGTATGCTCCATTGTCATGTTCTGAAACAAATATTTAATTTTTGCATAATGAATACAGCTTTTTGTCATAGTAAAATGTCCAAATAACAACATCTTTTGGTCCTTTGAAGAAAAGAATTCCTACTCAAGTTTTTCTAACCAGCACTGGCAATGTGGATTGACTGGCACTGCAATTAAAGATCTATTTTAACTGAATGGATAACTCCAGCACTGCTCATATATGCAGATATTTTTCCCCCAATTCAAAGGGTTTTTCTTGGCCTTTGATTCAAGTCAGTGATGAGACATTACAAATGCAGATAGTAAATCAATACCCCAGACATTAGCAATAGATTCTGCATACTTGCCCCTCTTCTAGACCATGAATTTACACACACAAGTTACTACTCAATCAGAAGAATTGGCAGTCACAGTTAGTTGTGGTTTGAGAAGTGGGTCATTCAGAGATCCTTGGCCTCATAATCTCAGCTCTTAAAAGGCTGAAATGTGATCTCAGCCCCTAACCTCAGTGATGGATGAAGATGCCATGACAGCAATGTAGGAGAGGAAGGAAGGAAGTAAGGTGATACTACGGGATAAATATCCCAACTCTCCCCAGCATGAAAGCAGCCTCACAGGTTGATCTAAGTCACCAAAAATCATCTGGAGAGGGCTTCCAGGGCGGCAGAGGGAGGCAGAGGTGCACTGGAGACTTTTCCCAAGTACCGGTAGATGGAGCGCTGTGGTACCGAAGATATCCTCTGCTCAGCCGGCTGCACCCTGCCAACAGGACTTCTGCACCACGGATACTACCTCCGGAGCGCTGCCAGAGCTTTACTGGCAGTGTTATTGCAACAAAATAACTGTGGATACTTGGAATCCGCAGTTAGAATATCTTTTTTTAATTATTTTTTTAAATTTAATTAAAACTGGGGGGGGAGGGGGGAAAGCG